ACTCAGCATTCTTGTGATAACATTCGGAACGCGTACTGCGGCGTTAAACAGCAGTTATCATGACAAAACTAGGTTGATAATTATTGCAGGCCCACGGACTGATACGTTTGGGGCTTTGTATCTTCTGAAGGCAGAGACGGTGCAGTGACAAGTGCGCGTCACCACCCGTGTTGAAGTCCTGGGTCGACTCCCTCCTAAGCCAATTAAGATCTCTGCTCTCCGGGGACGGTAAGTTGGTACTAGATTTGTTTGGGCTTGTCCATCGGCTGGCCCCAGCGAGTCATTGTATAGGCCACATCGCATTCAATAAGCCACTACGATTCTGAATGGAAGTAGAATGCGTGCCGCATCCCACAAAGGGATTGATCAACGGCGAAGACTTTATCCTTGATTTTTGTCCTCTGAAAATTTTCCACAGTCATTATCAACGGTAGCATTGTTAATTTGCGCGCAAAGACGAAAAAAAGAAAACTCTGGCGTACACTTTAACCCTTTGATTCCACATATGTTTGTTTGTCTGTGGATGATTGCTGTTTACTAAGTTTCATGTCTCCCTCAGTGCTAAAGAATTATTCAAGCGAGCCTGTGCCGTTCATGAGGAAGCGTAGGTCGAATCATTTTCCTCATCCGTTTCATCAGGTTCGATGTAGATAGTCATCAATCATTTCACGACACGTTCATTAATCTTCCCTCTTCCAATTTTGACGATTGTATATGGGAACCTTGAAGTGTACTTTTGCCATTACTACGACCAAGATGCATAGGAAAGAGCCAGGGTGAAAACATTTATCTTCTTAAGCCATAATGCAATTACATACGCTTACCATTCCTCATGCGCTTGTGTACACCAGCACAGCGTTTTTAGTAAGAAAGCTGACCAACATTTTCCAACAAGATACAGCGAATTACAAAGTACCCTATTTATGCTTTCATCGAGCCGATCTTTCCATCGCTAACAGTCACTTTCCTGATCTGACTAGGTTTCCTGAGGCGTAGTGTAATGAGGATATAATTTCTATAGTCTTTCATAAACATCAGAACTATTGCCGGAGAGAATATCGTAAAAGAAGACATCAGTAAGCCCATAATGTAGCTCAAAACAGGTGGGCTATCGGCCCCGGTGAAAACAAGCAGATACATTGTGCAAAGGGGTCCGTTGAGCAGCAATGCCGGACACACAGTCTAAAAATGATTTTGTAAGAATAGCTGAAGGAGCAATATCATGGAATTTTGAAGCTTTACAATTTGCACACGCAATGTTTTTAGGGGCGAACTGTTTTTTTCTCCCTTGTTTCATCGCAACTTCTTTCCGAGAAGTATTAAGGAACCTTCTTAGTCCCAGACTCCGTAGGGATGCAGGCCTTACAAGCTTAAAGAAGTCTCTGCCCTGGAACAAAGGGAGACATGGTAAACGGATAGAAGTAACATACGGGAGCGCACAGGGTTATCTGTTGCAGCGGTTTCAATAGACAAGCTTTTCTGGTTAGTTCTTCAACAATGATCCTGCTCTTTGGAAAAGGTAATATTGCAAACCTGTAGAATGAGCATCAGTAGCATGTGTCGGTGAACTTTTTTCGTTTGAGGGCTCATAGCATTTCACTCTTAAACAGCGATCAATCTTCCAAGCACAAAGCGCTCCAGCTGTACCAAGTGCCAATATAACTGCGAAGGTCTCAATAACAAGCGCAAAGTTAGGTGGAGTTATTAACTGAAAACAGTGTTGTATCAAATAATAGAGTTTATCTCCTGAGGGCTTTGAGGAATTGCGCGTTATTATGCAAGAATAATGGCGAGAACTGTCATAAAAATTTGCAAACTATCCCATAGAGCGAAGAGCGTGGCGAACCTTCCATATTACTCCAAGAAATGCTTTCCGTGTCGCATCTATCCCGTAATTTTCTAATATATATCTTATTGTGTATTGTATGACAACCGGTGTCGGACAAAGAGCTAATGTAAAGCATGGAGATCCAGTTAAATATGATTGCCACATTAATGGAAACAATAACCACTGCCCACTTTAGTGAGTGATAGATGTACAGATAGCGAGCTCTGCAATGGTTGCATCATGAAAATGGTAGTTCCTTGCGAAAAAATTATTCGCTCTCCAGCGGATTATAGGGACAGACAACGGCATAGTACTCAAAGGTGTCTATTTCCACATCCGGGAGAGCTTTTAGGATATGACTTGCGACATACTACAATTAAATGTGCTTACTTGCACAGCTGGACATATCTATAGACAAAATTGTTCATGGCTAATGTCAATGAAGAAATAGAAGTGACGCTGCATAGTGTCACAAGTACTTGTGCTAGAGATCCCTTCAGATACCGCTCCTGTTGGAAGGTATAAGAAGGCGAAGTCAGTAGTAATTGCAATCTGAAACAGGTACTGAGCGAACAGTTAAATGGGTAGAAGACACTCGAAGGAACACAAATAAAGATGTATATTTAGAAAATGTCCATTGATTATGAGCCAATCCTCACAATTTTCGCACAAGCATATGCAGTACTTCAATGCTTTATGTAGCCGACTTCTTAAAGGAATTGAATAACTAAGCGCTCACAGAAGCCGCACGAATGTGCGGAATAAATTTCCTGTTTTGATTAATTCGAAGTAGGACCTTGAAAAAAAAACGAACCGCACCACTGCTACATTCATACGAGACTGGATCATTTCTTCCTTGTTTCTATTTTGATGTCAAGTTAATCAGTTTATACTGTAGTTTATGCTGGTGTATATCCTAACACTGCCTTTGGGATAACAAAAATGTTGCTTTCGACGCCTTAGGACCTAGTACGTGTTTTTCCATATAGAACCCTCGACTGTTGTTGTTCCTCCATAATTATTTCATCAGTGGAAGATGGTAAGGATCAGGATCCATCGCCGCGCACATCGTAGATCAATTTTGGGGTTTCAACATAATCTGTCGTTACGTAGCTAACTAAGAATGTGGCTTTCATATAGTGATGTATTGAATGGATTTTTTCCTTCCCACGGTTGCAGGAAAATGGGATAGTTGCCCCATTCTTCAACAGGACAAGTTTGAAAAGGATACGAGAACACAATTCACCGGCAGAGTTTACCCGTTGCTTCCACAATCCCCCGAAATGAGGCCAGTTTCTAGCCGACTTCTTTCTCCGAGGCAGACCTGTCTAGAAAGCTGCACTCTGGGGCAGTTTGAGTGACAAGAATATCGCTTCCTCTGCTGAGCCTCTGTAGAGGACCCCCCTTTACAATTCTTGACCTTCTTGACCTCACACAATTAAGATATCCATGTTTAGGTCAAACTACAGGTTTTCAGCGAATCTCTTGATTCAGCATATTTTGGCCCAGGCGCCAAGAGCTCCGGGGCGGAGCGAATAAGATATTCGTGTCCTGGAGCTCAAGCCACCCCCACATCTTCTTAGTCGAATCTATCCTCGGGGAAAGAGGTCTCAAAAACTGGCTTGATTTCGGTTTACCGCGCAAGCCGATTTTCCGTCAGCACTAGGGCAAATAGCAATAGCCCTAGGGCACGCTGAAGATTTGCCAACACGGTGAGTCGGAAATATCGCCGCTTCAATTTCTCATAAACTCCTAAATCATCAACCTTTATAGTTGTCGCGCCGCTGCGTGCAATCCCGAATTATGTTTGCATGAGATGTGATGTCCATGACGTTCAATAGAAAATTTTTTTGAATTTTATATTATAATTTAAGAAGCTCGCAGCTGCATAAATGCATATCCTTGTTAGTATCCGCGCGATAGAAGTCAGAACAAACTCACCGGTGCCACGACAAGCATACAAACGGATGCAGTTATGTCCTTCCAGAGCACCATACAAGAAAAAAAGTTTATAAGTAGACAGACTTCGTAATGGACATCGCACGATAACGTAACAATAGAAGGACATTGATGAGTATCCCAAAACCACATATGACCGTGTTAGTAGCAAGATAAGCGGTGAACATTTCATTCCTCCAGAAGTGTGACTCTCTGGAAAGCGATTTCGAATGACATTCATATGACTGTAAGAAAACATTGACATCTCGATGGGGTGCTGACAAAAGCTGTCTGAATAAAGTTAGAGGTCAAGGGCTGTGATCCGCTACTAAGCACTGTAGCTCTGTCATTCTAGGATTTTTCCTTCGTAAGATAGCCGGATGAGTGCGCTAATTCTGGAAAATGAATGCTTCACAACACTGATGTAGATCTATTCAGCTTCTATGTATTCGTCTCTAATAACTCTAGGCATTTGAGCATATCTACATGGAGCACTCTTCTGGTGTCCCTGAACGAAAGCAAAACCATTTGGCAACCACGATGATTCGCTGTCACGAATATAGGGATAAAGTGACCTCCAAGAATGGCATCGCCCGAAAAGGATGATGCTTACAGCAGGTAATTGGTCTATAGCAGGACTTCTCGGCAAATTCTCTAGGACAATGGAAAATGTTGAACAATGGCAACCTCAGCGGCAAACTTTGCCCTAGAAAGATTTAAGTTGCGTTCATAACCAATAATTTGATAATGTGACGTCATGGCAATTACAACGGCCATATTTCACTTAGAGACACGATGACATTGCCATTTTTGAAGCGAGATGTCCCTCCAAATCCTACCACTGGCCTCGAAGTGGCGGAGGGGCGAAACGGGAATATCCCGGCCAACAGTGGGGGTAGATACCACCTCAAAGGGTTAGCTACCCGAGGATTGGTAAACAAACAAGCTACAACACGCACACAGAGGGTCCGGAGCGGCGCAGAAGGCACGAGCTCTACGTGCACTGGAGCACGGCAACCGTCATAAAACAGCTCACCAGGCGCTATAACAGGTACATGGACGCGCAATAGATCCCGGACCAGTGGAAGATGTCAAGCACGGCTCTTCTGTCCAAGAAGGACCCAATGAAAACACTACCGTCCCATCGCCCTCCTCTCGCAGCCATACAAGTTGTTCACGAAGGTAATCCTCAACAGGCTCGAGAAACAACTGGATGAATATCAACCAGTGGAACAGGCCGGGTTTCGCAAGGGCTTCTGTTGCATGGACCACATCCATACTGTCACGCAGTTGATCGAGCGAACCAAGGAATACAAGCAGCCGCTCCTGCTCTGCTTCATCGACTATACGAAAGCATTCGACAGTGTGGAACTGAACTCTATTTGGAATGCGCTGCACCATGCTGGTGTCGACCCGTGCTACATAAACCTGCTGGAAAAATGCACCATGGACACATCTACCACCATCCGCATTTTTCAACGAGAGCTACGAGTGCCGATCGAAAAAGGAGTCAGACAAGGTGATACGATCTCTCCCAAGCTGTTCACCACCGCACTCAACCACGCGATGCTGCAACTCGACTGGGACGATAAAGGCATCAACGTCGACGGAAAGAAGCTATCTAACCTACGATTCGCAGACGACATTGTCCTTATCAGTCAAACTCAGCAGAGCTACAGCGGATGGTGGAGGAACTGAACAACGTCGGCAAAGCTATCGGCCTCACGATGAACCGACCGAGGTCATGCGCAATGAGTGGGCAGATGCGTCACCCATCACACTCGAAGGCACTGCTCTACCGGATACCGACCGTTACGTTTACCTTGGTCGACTCATTTCCATGGACAACAATTTGCGCGAAGAAATTATGAGACGCAAAAAATGCGCATGGACGGCAATGGGACGCATAAGAGAGGCGGCCCAGCTCATTTCGGATAGGAAAATACGAGCTGCTCTGTTCGACTCTACAGTACTGCCTGCTCTTTGTTACGCATCCGAGACGTGGGCAGAGAACAAGGCGTCCACGCTGATGTTGACACGTGCCCAACGAGCATTGGAACGGACCCTGCTGAATATCAACCGCCGTGAGCAGAGATGTCGATGTGTTCAGACGTACGGTCGGTGGACCACTCGCATCACACTCTGGTATCCGAGAGACGCGAAGCGCAAGGTTGGCCGCCCTGCAACCCGTTGGAGAGACTCCTTGAAGCAACTCCAAGATTTTGCAGACCAACACTGGGTCCAAACCGCTCAAGATCGCAAACAATGGAGGGAAGCGTGTGCTCGTCGCTGAAGAGAACCGGCTGAAGAACGAGCGTCCAAGTATCCAGGTAAGTAGAGTGAGATGTGGTTAAGTGAAGTGAAAGCTCATTCATCATTCTAGCCAGGAATCTGAAACGTGGAGTTCTTATTCAACGAATATTCGAAGAAAGGATGAATAGTCGCAAATGCTTTTTGCTAAACCTTAACTAGGAGGGAAATGTATTCTGATGTCAACGCCACTATGCCCACGAGAGAAGTGGTAGAGAAAAATCGACTGCGTCGAATTATGTCGAGTGGAATCTCTGGGTGATTATGAATCAGACTTCCAATGTGCTGTGCTCTTGGACAAAGATGCAGAGATTATTTCAGGAGGTCTAAACCCACACAAAATACTAAAATTGTTGAACATTGTACATACCACTGCTGGACCACTGCTGAAAACATTAAATTGGATTCCCAGAAATGGTTTTTAGCTTCTCTTGGTTGAACACCTGTCATTCTAGTAACTCTCTACCAGCTGCGTGACGAGCAATGATATTGACGAAACTTGAGCATAGAGTCA